CCTGTTCTTAAAATTCATATAAATGGAATCATAAGTATATACTATTTTTGTGTCTGACTTCTATCATTCAGCATTACGATTTTGAAATATATTCATTGTTATTGCATGTATCTTTAGTTTATCCCTTTTGATTGATGCATCATGGTCCATTGTATGGTTACACTACAATTTATTTTTCTATTCTACTACTCATGGACATGGGTCGTTTCCAGTTTGGAGTTACTTTTAATAAAGCTGCTACAAACATAGCAGCTTACATGTCTTATTGGTAGGAAAATACATTTAGTGTTTTGTTCGATTTATACCAAGAGTAGAAATTCTGGGTCATAGGTAGGTATATGTTTAGCTTTGGTAGATACCGCCAGTTTGCCAAAGTGTTATGTGTCAATTAAAACTCCCACCAGTAATATGTGAGTTCTGGTTGCTCCACATTTTCTTCAAAACTTGTTTTTGTCATTTTTTTAATTATAGCCATCTGGTGGGTTTATGATGATGTATCTTGTTGTGGCTTTAATTTGCATTTTCCTAGAGACTGCTGTGATTCTGAGCACATTTTCATATATTCGTTATCCATTTGGATATCCTCGTTTATATAGTGCCTGCTGAAGTTCTTCATTCTTTCTTAAAATTAGCTTCTCTGCATTTTGCTTAATGATTTGTAGGAGGTTTTTTAAAAACGTTCTGGATACAATTCTTTCATTGGACATATATGTTGCAAATATATTCTCCCATTCTGTGAGTTCTTTTTTAACATACTAATCCTTCTTGATTCTCAGACTCTTTTTTTCCAGATTTATTTTCTTTCTTAGAGTACATGCTTTAGATACAGAGAGAATTTCAGTTGACTGTAAACCCTCTCTGTTTTGTTTATCGGTAAAAGCATTTTATTCTTATTTTCGAAAATTATTTAACTGGATTCATAGTTCTTGCTTGAGAAATTCTCCCCTCCCAACCCCCAGCACCACATCTTCCAGCTTTTATTTTGGGCTTAGAAAAGTCTACTATTTATCCAGTTGATGTCCCAGTCTTATATTTGTATCCATATTCTCAAATTTTACTATAGTATGACTTGGGAAGTTACATTTTTATCCTTCTTGAAATATGCTGTATTTCTTAAAGTCTGATAATTGGTATTATTTATCAATTCTAAAAACTTTTCAAATATCATCTTTTGGAATATTTTCTCACCTCTGCCTTGTACTACTCTCTCAATTTCTCCTAAACTAATTCAGATTAAGTGAATATGCCTTCTTAAACTCTTCTTGATATTTTTTAACATCTTTTTTATATTTTCCATTGTCTTATCTTTCCTTGTTCTTTTCTAGGTAATTATTTACGGTCTACTATTTCATCAACTTTCTCTTCTGTTATGCCTAACCTGGGTTTTTGGTTCTTTTATTTTTTAATCATTATAGTTGTTATTTCTAGTAATTATATGTTTCTTTTGTACTCTTTCAAGAATAAAACCACTAGAATGATTTTCAGTTTCAGATTATCAATTAAATATTCAAGACACAATAGGTTTACTGAGCTTTAATAAAGGGTCCAAAACAAATAGCAAGCACTATGCAGGGCAAGAAAATACTGATGGTGTTAGATACCAGCTGTAGCTTCTCATGTGTCCAGTCACTGCACTCATCTCAAGAAATGACAACAATGTATTAAGATGAGGGTCACATCAGCAAAGGAAAGCCCCAGGAACTAGGGTCCCACAGTACCTTAAGTACCTTACTACTCTCCTAAAGGGATATGTGTCTAGCTCCCACTCTTTACTACAACTTCAGCACATTAATGACAAAATATATGGATAAATAATTTTAATAATTATGTACAGAGTATTTAGATTTATACTTTCATAATTCTCAGTACAACTGCTCTTAGAGTACGGCCATATAAAGATCAGATAATGGGTCCATGGGTCCATGAGTTTCACACATCCTACCAGTGGTCATTTCCTAATTTCTCAAGTTATAATCAAAACAGTTATACATATTGGATCTTGGAACCATAACAATAGTTTATTGGCCTATGGAAAAAAACTGTTATAGTAGAAAACTCAGAGTTAGATTCCCCGAAACTACCTTCACTTACTCCTGACCAACATAGTAAACATAAAACAATATTATATTCTAGATATATTGCCATAACCCAGTGCTACCCTCAAAAATTTAAAAGATGCAGGGGTTATGGTCTTTGTTATATTCACACTTCATTTAGCAATCTAGTCCCTATGAAAACTTGATACACGGCAGTAGACTTAGCCGAGTAGTAGCCATAATTACAGCTGCTATATTTTTACTAGACCTGATTTACAAAGCCTGTGTTATGTACCATGTGACCTCTGAGCTGGCCAATACATTCTTTTTAATACCTATGAAGAAAGATCAAATTTGTTCTCATGTCAGTTTCACCCCAGGAGAATGCTCATTCTCCTGATTTCTGCCACCGTAGAGTCCAAAGGACCACAGTCACCTGGAAACTCTATAGTGCCTCATGGTGCTCCATTATTTAGAAAATATGATGTTATTTTGACAAGATGTAAAGAAAGATGGATTCCCTGGTAAGATGTATACAATCCAGGGACTATTAGATTAACTTTACAAAGATTCAAGATGTTGCCATATGAATAAAGTTTTTAGGGTTCCAGTGATCTGGGGATGCCAGGATATCTCCTCTAAGATAAAGGACAAGTTATTGCACTATCTTAGTTTGTCCTGGCCACTATAACAAAACACCTTAGAATGGGTAATTTATAAACAATAGAAATTTACTGTTCACAGTTCTCGAGGCTAGAAAGTTTAAGATCAAGGTGCCAGCAGATTTGGGGCCTGGTGAGAGCTTGCTCTGCTTCAAAGATGGCAGCTCTTGCTGCATCCTCACATGATTAGAGGCAGGCAAGAGCACTCTCTTCAACTTTTTTTTACAAGGGTATTAATCCCATTCATGAAAGTGGAGCCCTCATGACTTAGTCACTATCACATTGATATTAGTTTCCGACATACGAATTTTGAGAACACCAACATTCAGACCATAGCATGCACCTTGCACCTCTTTCCACTAAGAAAGACACACAGCACTTAGTAGGCCTTTTGGAGTTCTAGAGGCAGCATATCCCACACTGCGGTATACTGCTCTGAATCATATATGAGGTGATGCAAACTACTGATAGTTTTGTATGGGGCCCAGAGCAAGGAAGGGTATTATAGCAGGCCAAGTCTGTGGTTAGAGCAGATTTGCATCTCCTGTAGTGCTATAGGTATCTAGACAGTGAAGGAGCTTAGGAAATTTCACCCCAAGATATGACTCCTTGATATAAAGGGTATTTTGAATTAAAGGCCCTTAGAGATCCAACAGGGCTTGGAAGGGGCTTTCCCTCTGTCTTCATAAAAACCAGACCCTTCAAAAAGAACAATTGTCTTTCCTTCCCCTCCCTGTTATCTCAACATATTGCAGGGATGGGGGAAGAATGCAGCCAGACCTGGCCTAACCCATTTTAAAGATAATAACCTGTCTCTAAGGTTAATTTAATTTCCAAAGAGGAACATTTACAAGTCAATCTATTTCCCCTCATCCATTCATTCTCCCAAGGATTTATTCATCCTCCCTAGTAACCATTTATTGCCAATCAACAGAATTACCTATATTCCTCATCTCTCCTTCCCCCCTAAAATGAGAATATATAAACTTCTGGACCCCATTGGGATATTAGGTAATCACTCTGTGGTTCTCCCTGTGTGCATGGTAAATAAATTTGTAATCTATTTCTCATTTTAATCTGCCTTATTGTGAGGTGATCTTTCAGCCAACCTTCCAGGAGTGAAATTTTCCTTCTCCCCCACAGCACATAACATAGATAGCATGTTAGATAGAATCCATTATTAGGTAAAAAAACTAAAATAGGGAAGGGGACAGAAGGACCAGGAGGGGTTGAGGTTATAATTTGAGATAGAGTGGTCAGGGCAGGCTGCATGGAGAAGGTAACATGTTGGAAGTGAGGGAGTGATCTGTGTGGAGAGGTGAGCAAAAGCCCTCCAGGCAGGGACCTGGCATGGCTGAGGAACAGTGGCAAGGCCAGTGAGACTTGAACAAAGGGAGTGAGAAGAAGCCAGAGAAGTGACAGCAATAGATTGTGTAGAACTTTGTAGTTCATTTTGGGAATTTTGACTTTTACTCTAAGGCAGATGAGAAGCGACTGTGGCATGTAATAATAGCACATTTTAATAGCACATTCTGGCTACTGCAGTAAGAATAGATTTATAGGTAGCAAGGGCAGGAATGAGGGGAATACTGACAGGGTTATTGTAATAATCCAAAAGAGATGACTGAAGCTTGGACCACAGTAGAAGTGGAAGCAGTAATAAGTAAAACCGTAGAAGTATTTTCATGGTAAAATCAAAAGAATACTTTTGATTTCTTTTTCTATTGGATTTTGTTTTTAGTATCCCAGTCTGTTGGGATATATTTAGATCCTATTCAGATTCTTTCTTCCCACAAATTTTACATATTCTCTTTCTTATAGAAGTAGCTTGAATCATAAACCTTTGGATAAACATCTGGAAGTCTCCTTATATGTTGACTTTGACCTTAAAACATTTTTACATTAAAGTTCTGGTTATAAGACTGGAGCCAGCCCATCTCAAAAAAATCACATTTTCGTCTTTCCATTTCTCACTCCCTTTCCACTCATTTCCGAAAACTGCTAGACTGACTCAATTAGGAAGAGGGCAGCATTTACAATCCGTAGTCTTGGCACCTATCTATGCTTGACAAAGCTTGACAAAGCTATGAAATTTGTTCACTGTGATTGGCCTCAGCAGTATAGGTGTGTGTTGTTCCTAGGAGGATTATCTCTTTCCTCCTGGTTTCTCTAATACAGTCTCCTTCTTAGTAGTAAAGGATTTATTTCAGTTCTACTTCAGGGATATTTTAACTTACTTGTTATAGGAAAATGGTTATTTCACAGTCAAACACGGCAGAGAACACATACAATACATACAAATAAAAATCAGAAAATTTATTTTAAACCTCCCAAAAATCTTCCATAAGTGATAATGAAATTTATTATAGTTTTCAGTATCAAGACGACTGGAAACACAGTATATAAAAGGACATGTCAAGTTAAAAATGTTATATGTGATTTCCATTAGAAAGCTCTTGATGATTTACAACCAAAGTAAGATATACATTCTCTTAATTTTCTAATCAAAAATTACACTCACTAAAAGTACAAATTTAATAGTTGTCATCTACCAAATAAAAAATATTAAGTATTCACTATTATTTGAAAAATAACAAATTCCATGAGTCTAAAAGCACCTATGGTGCAGTTTGCCAAGGTTGTTGAATTGAGTTAGGTTTCTCTGTGGTTTTCAATAACCAAAGTTTTTGTTCCTATGGATACAAAGAGGCAAAATAAATAAAAGCAAAACCACCCCATAAAATTTTAGAAATTGTAGATAACAAATGATGTTACCACAATCAAATCACTAAAGAACTTTTGGGACATTCGAAATCAGGATTCATTGCCACTTAAAAACATAAAGAAAGGTAAGGGGAAGTAAGCTAAATCAGAACATAAACATTGTCTGAAAATCTCTAACTGTAATTTTTTCTGTTAAAAAGTTGTCTTATGATTTGTTGTCTTCAGAAACTTTTTGGTACTAAATCAACAAATAATTTCTTCTCAGAATATAAAATAATTATGGCAGGAGATTAGCTAATAGTTATATTTTGTACAGTATTACCTATGAACAAAGTCCAAGGCTTACCATTAATTTCCTGTGTAACATTAACCAGACAACCTCTCTGTCTCTTCATTTAGTTAAAGGCAAAATAATATTGTTCCTGTATACTTAATACAAAATAAAATAAGTTATCAAAATGTGACAGCCCTTAAAGTAATTTTTATAGATGGCACAACTGTAAGAGCATAATTCTAATGTACACTAATTAAGAATTGTTCTGGTTTCTAGTCAAACCAATTTATTATATCTCATTGCAATTCTATTGCCTTTTTCTTTCCATAAAATATTATAATGAACCAGATAATTTTCCTATAATCCTAATAAACATTTATCTAAAGGGTTATCTGGTATATAGTACATAAATAATAAGGCATATTATCAGAACTTTGGTGATCTTTCAGTTTTGAACTCTAGTTGTTAGGGTGTGGAGGAAAAAGTTATGGAAAATTCCTATGATTCACAATGGCTTTGGCTGTTGAAACTCAAACACAGTTATTTACAGTGTATTTATACAAACTGAAAATGTGAAGTCAAACTCATTTCCACAGTTCCAAGGGAATCAGATAAGAAACCTGGGTATTTTATTAATAAATCACTCTCAACTATAATTATTTTTCTTTAAGGTAGTTCTTAACAAGAATGATGGTAACACTAAAAATATGCAAACAAATTCTGAAAAAAGTGAAAATATTTGGTGGGCTTTCATCTTATTTTAGACTGGTTTTACTTAGAAACTGAAATATAAAATTATTTTTCAATCGCTTAATTGTTGGTACTAGAAATAGGAACCACAAAAAATGTTCACATTAAATAAATATTTCCTAAATAACAATGAAACAATACATACAGATTTTGGCACAGCAGAACAGACTATGTTAATTCCGTATCACAGGTTTCTCTTTGAGTTTTATCTGATAAAACTTTTAAGGTTGTTTTCTCCTTTGCAGTGGCCAAGTTTCTTCTGGAGTTCGCTGGGGAATGGCTGTTTTTCAACTAGAAGTCTAGGCTTCCTTTTCCATTGCAACATTTATGTTCACTGCCAAGTGGCTCCCATCACATCTTGTTATTTTTGATGTTTTTCATTTTTGAATATTTCTATAAAGAAAAAGAGGGATCCGTCAGAAATATGTATTGGAAATAACCAGGAAGGAAATTGCCTGCTTTTAAATATTGTTTATAAGGCGCTCACATGCATATATGCTTTTTGAGAAATAACTGGGATCAACATAGAAGAATCAAAAAAGAAAAGAAATGTAAATTCTTCAGAAACAAGGTAGATATTTCTATGAGGTAGTAGATAATACCTTAGGTTTTATCTAAAGTGAAGTGTTTTTCAGTTGACAAAACACTTTTCTTTGCATTTTAGTTTATCCTTAAAACCTCTCTATTATATAGGCAATGTAAGGTAGGAAACTGAGGCCCCACTGAAGTTGAGACCTGCCCAGCAATCAAACAAGTAGTAAGGGATTGAAGCTGATTGTGTCGAAAAATATCTGATTCCAGACCCAACCCTCTTTTGGCTCTGGCACTATGCTTACAGAATACAGCACAAGCCTAGTGGAGTTCTAAGGACTACAGAGGAGGAAAAGAGTATCTGTAAGTATTAAACTGCAGAAAAAGCAACAAGTCTCAAGCATAATCTGTGCTATCTAAAGCTCCTAGTTAACAGATGCACAGACCCACCATTAACACAGTATCATATCAAACTCTTAAGTAAAGCGAGCTACGTTACACACAGGAATTTTGTCTGTCTCCAGACAAGACATTTCAGTCCTTTTCACCATGATTTTAATGGAGCCTGAGGGATGAATGGTTTAAAACAAGCCCTAATAGCAAGCACCCCAATGATCAAGAGGAACAGAAAACCAGAAATCTCTCCACCTCCATCATACTAGAGATCTGTTAAGTGCTAGCCACCTGGACCCAGAGCAGAATTCCCTGCAACTCTTGCTCCTGAGCACTCATTAGCTTATGACTGACTTCTTTTCTTCCTTCCCCCTTTCCCCTTCCTTCTTTCCTTCCTTCCTCCCTGCCTTCCTCCCTCCTTTCCTCTCTCATATTTCCCTCCCTTTCATCTTTCTTTTCTTCCTCTCTTCCTTTCCTTCCTCCCTTTTTCCTTCTCTGAATTCTTTTTCTGCCACACTAGCTGTATCCCCTAATATAAGTTACCTAATCTTCATGTGCCTTATTTTCTGATTTTTTTCAAAAAAAAAAGGAGAGAAAAAAGATAATAGCACCTATTTTATGGAATAGTTACAAAGATTAAATGAATTAATAGATATAAAAAGCCTAAAACTGTCTTACTAATTGCTGGCGATTTTGATGATGTGTGTGAAATCCAAAGACAAAATACAGTTTTGTGACTTCTGAGGAGCTCACAGACTAATTGGAAAGAAGAAAAGTGATGTCAAAGCAGAAGAAGTAAAATTTCTCCACACTTCATGTTAATTCCCCTGACAGCCTGAATTTATTTTCCTCGGTCAACATCTCCCTCGGTGCTCGCGGGGGCTGGAGGTGGTCAGGGGTCTGGCAGGGAAGCCAGCCTAGAGTCCATGCCTGCCTGGACACATTCCCTCTCCTCATGTGTCACTGTCCTCAACTGCTGCTTTTAGATTTTTTAGGTCTTTTTTATATCACAAACACCAATAAAACTACACACACTGTAGAATACACATTATAGATAAAAGAACACAAGGTTTTTAGGCAGTATGCCCAGATGTAATTCCCACTTCTATCACTTACTATCTTTGTGACTTTATCTGTAAAAAAGGATAACAACACTATTTCTCCCTCACAGTGCTGCTTTTCTTGGGTGGGTGACGGATGAGAGAAAATGAAATAGATGTGTTATAGCACAGAGAACAGGAATCCGAATACCTGGGTCTGAGTCCTAAGTCTACAACCTACAGGCTGTGTGTCTTGAGGAATCTCTGAATTTCATTTTGTTATCAGTGAATAAGTTTTGATAATAATAACTGAATCATAGAGCTGAGGAAATAACAAATGAAATAATGGACCTGCAAGTTCTTTGTAAAACATAAAGTGCTACAGAATTATTACTTGCTATTACCATCTCATATTCACATAAAACTATTATAAGCCTGTAGTTGGAAAGTTCAATCTGTCATCTTGACAGTTATTAGTCTCACTCTCCATTGTCAATAAGCTGATATAAGATAGTACATAGTCAAGCAGAAAAATGGGAGGCGAGGAAATTAAAATAATTAGATTATCTCAAAATAAAATAATAGGATTTGAACAATCTTCACTTTAGAAGGGACCTTATAAGTCACCTCTCCCTGCCTGATCTAGCCCAACCTTCTACCCAGTGCACGGGTCCTCTAAATAACACCCATGCTCTGGTGACCGGCTCTAGTTGACAGAGCAGATTTCACATTGAATAGAAATTGTGTTCCTTATTGTATTAACTTTCAACAAATCTCAAAATGTGTAGGAACTGGTTTTTCTGACAATTATTTAGGTTTCTAAAACCTAAATTGGTTTACAACCTCTATCTTTTTTGGCTTTTATCTCCCAAGCCATTTGGAAATACCACAAGTTTAATATGGAGGAGATGTTTCTCATATTGAATTGAATATTCACTAAACCAATTACTTAGGTAATCAAATTAACTGAGCGATTTGGAGTCATATAGACTAAGTTCCTTGGAGACCAAGTCAAATATGTATTTCATCCATAAAAGAGCAGACACAAAATGGAGCTTTGTTTTGTTTTTCTCTCTAAAAAATATAGGCCGAATAAGTGTCCTTCACTAGTCAGAAATCTACATCTTTGTAACAATAACCTACTGTTCAATCCACAAAATGAAGTTATAAGCATAAAATTAGATAATTCTTTGAATAAGAAGATTAAAGTGACAGAAAATTTTCATTTCCTTATATTTTGAAGGATCAAGTATATCTAAAAGTGATTTACATTCTCTTATAAAGCTGATGTTTCCTAAAGCATTAGTTTGAACCAAGGCTATTCACACTTCACTTTCCTTCTTGGGAAGTTTGAGTGCCAGTCTCATAAAATTGCTCACCCTGATGCTGAACAGTCAAACCTGCAGCAAGACCTCATTTAGGATGCAGCTTGATTATGAAGTTGGAATTTTTTCTCCATGTTTTCAACTGGAGTTTCATCCATGTTTTCATATCTATACCTACCATCCACTGCCCTTTCCTTAGCACCTTTGGTAACCAAATTGTTAGCTGAGATTGAACAAGTAATATAAGTTAATAGCTACTTTATTTTCCCTCTCATTTGCAGTGATTAAGTGGATATTGAATCATGTTTCAGAGATGAGGCTTCTATTTGTACTCCCGACAACTGTTTTTGCATACAGAAAATGTTTCATAGCCACACATCTGTCAAGTAAAAAGAGGACTCTAGGCTTCATTTCTTTATTTAAAAAATACTTATTGAGAACCTATTATGGGCCAGACACTCTTCCAGAATTTAAGGATAGAGGAATCTGATAAAAATCTTTGCCTTCACGGCGCTCATGTGTGGGGGAAGTTACCAATAATCAGAATAAAGAAGGAATGTAAATAATACACTAGATAACAAAAAGGAGACGGGTAGTCCCTGATAGGAGGCTTACAATTTTAAATAAGGTGGTTATAGAAGGGATCACTGAGAAGGTAAGTGCTGAAAGAAGACCTACAGGAGATATAGCTGAAAGCCATGTGGATCTCTGGGGGAAGATTATGCCACTTAGAAAAAAACAGCCCATGCAAGACTTGAGGATGGAGCTTCCCTTGATTTTTGAGAAACAGAAAGGAGGCCAATATACCTAGAGCAGTGAGAAAATGGGAGAAATAGAGAAGTCACGAGAGGATTTTCAGGAGAGGAATTACATGATCTGATTTGGATTTTAACACATTTACTCTGGCTGTTGTGTTGAGAAGAGACACTATGGGGCAAGAGTGGAACCAGATAGACTATCAGAAAGCTGGGATTAAAATCCTGGTAAGAGACAAAGGTTGATAGCAGTGGGCATGGGGAAAAAAATAGCCATATTCTAGATAATGTTTGAAGATAAAGCCAATAGGATTTGCTGAGAGAGTGGATGTGATTAGTGAGAAGGAATGAAAGGTTGTTCACAATTCTAGTGCATTAGTTTTTTCAAAAAATGGTCCATAGATCCCCTGCATCAGAACCACCTGAGGACCGTGTTGAACTAGATTCTCCTGGTATACCTGAGAACTTCAGACTCAAACTCTTTAGAGCAGAGGTTAGTAAATTTTTTCTTTAAAGAGCCATTTAGTAAATATCTGTCACAACTACTCAACTCTGCTGATACAGCACTGAAACGATCATAGACAATATGTAAATGAATGAGTGTGGCTATGTTCCAATAAAATTTTATTTATAGACATGAAAATTTGAATTTTATATAATTTTCATGTGTCAAAAAGAATTGTTTTTGTTTTTTGTTTTTTTTTAACCATTTAGAAATAAGAAAAAAAAATTCTTAGCTCCAGGTTGTACAAAAACAGGTAATGGGACAGATTTGGCTCACAGGCCGTAGTTTGCCAACCCTGCTCTAGAGAACAGATCCCAAATATGTATTTTTAGCATGCACATTGTTTTTTTATGCACAGGAACTTTCATGAGAGGTAGGTATTTTTATTCTAGTTTTAAGGATAGGGAAACAAAATCACAAAGAAATGTGATTCGTTGAATTAGAGGTTGCTCTCGGGTCTGTCTGATTGCAAAGCCTACACACTATACCCAACCACCTTGTGAAATATTTCCCAGTAGTTAATGTTCCTGTTCAGCCACAGAATGAGGAGAGATTAGGGAGAAAAGAAAAGAAAAAGGTCGCCTTGCCTAGAGAACTCTTTTTCCCTTTTAATATGGTGTATGGTTTTGCTTTGATAATTAACATTCTGCTGATGAGATCTCCCACTGGTGAGGCTGACGAGTAAGATTTTCCATGAGCAGCAAGCACTGCAGGAAATAAATTAATCTCTAGGGAAGAAGAAGGGCCGGGTTGTCAGTGCTCACACAACTGCCTAATAGGAAATGATATTTCAGAATTGCTCAAAGAATGAAATGACTACGGGTTCTCCTTCCAGCGCATTCTTAAACATTTAAACCTTCTGAGAAGAGGGAAATAGGTTTGCTATAAAATGAAGAACAATCTTATAATATTTTTCTTTAGGGTGTCAGTATTTCCAAACTAAAATAGCTTTCCTTAGAAATGTAGGGGAAATTCTATTAATAGCATTATTTTGCTTATATTATGAAAAATCTGCATTGATATTAAATAGAAGGATGAAAGATATACCAGATTTTTTGATTACTAGTTTAGAATTATCCAATAATTTAAAAAAACAGATTTTCTAGTCTTTGGAGTAAAGGTAATCATTGTGCTTAGAACACTACTTAGAATAACACTAAATTATTGAGGTGTTCCTTTATTAAAATTGAGAAACAACAATGTGGTTTATGATAATGATATCTAAAGTACCTACCTCTTGATAGCATATAATCACCCATTTAATCAATATAGAACCCCCACCTTGACTAATCCTCAAAATAGCTCTGATAGCTTAAACTAAAGCTCAACATAAAGATTATTTTTCTGCAGATCCACTGTTTATACCCTAACTTCCACCTTGGCCTCAGTGGAAACGTTCCAATGGACTTTGTTTCCTCTCATCTGTTTAATTTACCAAATAAGTAGGATCCTAGATGTGGTGGATCACCTGTCTGTGGGTCTTCTTTAGAGATAAGACATTTGAGCTCAGCAATCTCAATACTCTATATCAGAATAGGCCACAGAATCACAAGCTTTCAGAATTGACAGGGCATAAAGATTAGCTGGTGTATCTCCTATTTTGGTGGGGAAAGTGAAGGTCAGAGAAATGAAATGGCTTCTGAAATGCTACATATCTAGGTTGTGGCAGAGGTGGGACTAGAACTTAGGACACTTGGATTTTCTTTTCTGGTCCAGTGTTCCTCTCACTACTTGACTAGTCTAATTATGGAGGACAAATGGTGGAACAGATTTAATCTAAAGTTGTAGTGATAATTCAAAGAACATAGTTGGAAATTCAAAAGGAAGGAAATGACATTAAAGAATGTGGAGTAGGAGAGTATAAACTTTGCTCAATAGAGAACACTTATGTAGGGCACAAACAAATAGGCATATTTAAAAGGTTATCCTCTCTGGCAAAGATTTCAGTTTCCAGAGGGACACATAAGGAGGAAAAAGGAAAACAGCCCCTGGTGTAGCCAGGCAGATCACCAGAAACAATTGTAGCAATTAATGAGTGACCCACATAGTAACCAGATCCTCCTCACAACTAAATAATAATGCTCTTATCCCAAATGGCTTTGCCCTTGGCTGGAGGAAGCCACCTTGCCCACAGTCACAGCCTCTCCTCAGGGACAGCTGCATCCAATGATTGATTGATGCAGGGGGTATAAAGGCCTGTTCCCCACCAACCCCCCAAATTAGGGCAACTCTAAAGAGTCATGCTAACTCCAGAGCTCCCTGTGGGATCAGCTGAGGCCCTTGTTGTCACTGTAGCATGCTTCAACTTCCTCCTGTGCCCAGACCTGCTTCTGAGACTCTGCCTCAGGTGTTGCTCCTGAGAACGCCTCCCAGTTAGGTTTCCGCAAGCAAATGAATCCAAGGAACTGGATGTGCAACAAAAAGCTTAATGCAAACATTTCCACTTAACACATGTCATCTACTGAAAATAGCTCCCAAGCTAATTGAACAGTGAAGTCCTGTCTCCTCCTGAGCGATTGCTGCTCAGGCAAGGTGGAGAAAGAGTTAATAGAGAGAGGCAGGGCATTCAGCCTCTGCACAATGGGAATGTTTCTTGTATATACTCTGAGGAATTGGTGACAACACAAAGGAGGGCTTCTCATCCTCTCCAATGTCCACAGCATACACAGAGGCCATACAATTTCCAAGAAGATACAGTTCTCAAAAGGAAAACAAAATGCAGACAGAAACTCAGAGACTGCCAGAGCCACAACGTCAAGTGACCACAGCCAGCACCTTGAAGAGCATATTGTAGGGAAACAAAGTTTTCCTTAGCAATCAGCACACAAAGACTCAGTAGTTAATTATTATAGCTTGACTTAACTGGAGTTTGTTATGTACTCCACTAACTTTCACCTATTCCAGCTAATGTAACCTTCAAAATAGCCTATGGTGTAACACTATTATTAACCAAATTTTACAAATAAAGACATGGAGTCTTTAACAAATTGCTCATGGTACACAACTAGTCGGTGAGGAAGCCAAAATTTAAACCCAACAATCTCAGTTCAGACTCCAAAGCTTTGAACTTTATCATCCTATCACCTAATCATCCTATTTTCAGATTATTATTACTCTTTTAGTAATTTAGAGACAACATAACATGTAGCATTAATAAAAAGCATTCCTAAAATAAGACATGGGCATCAGCAAGCAACCAGACCGAATCAAGGACCCACAGAAGAAGGGCATCGATGAGATCTGGTGAAAACATTTTCACGTTTCTTAGCGAAGAGGAGCCAGCAGCTGACAGCCCTGATTCTGCGTGAGACTTTACCATACCCCCGGCTGGAACAGTCACATTACCCAATTCATGTTCGGCCATTCACAGTAAACCTTCTAGCTATTTACACTGAAAATCAAGATAAAGAATTCCCTTTACAGGCACGGTGGCTCACGCCTGTAATCCTAGCACTCTGGGAGGCAGAGGCAGGCGGATTGTTTGAGCTCTGGAGTTCGAAACCAGCCTGAGCAAGAGTGAGACCCCGTCTCTACTAAAAATAGAAAGAAATTAATCAGACAACTAAAAATATATAGAAAAAAAAAAATTAGCCGGGCATGGTGGCGCATGCCTGTAGGCCCAGCTACTCGGGAGGCTGAGGCAGGAGGATTGCTTGAGCCCAGGAGTTTGAGGTTGCTGTGAGCTAGGCTGATGCCACGACACTCACTCTAGCCAGGGCAAAAGAGTGAGACTCTGTCTCAAAAAAAAAAAAAAAAAAAGAATTCCCTTTGGTGTAATTATTAGATACGTATTTGAAAAGGTTCCACCCCATCTAACTGAAAGACTAGGCCTGGGTATAAGGAGCAAAATTAGAAAAGTGGCATCCATTTCTATCTTAATTAGTCTTTTTTTTTTAGTCTGTGATGTGCTACAAAGTCTCTGCAACTACCACTCTCACCGAAAGGAAATTTAGGAAGTGACTGACTTATGTCTAAGCATTAAAAAGAGGAGAAACCTCAGACAGGGTTTCATTTGTCCATCCTGAACTCAAAGGAGGCTACTACATATTCAGAGATGAGCTACTCATCCCAAGTATGGTAAATGTGAACTATGGATCCAATTTCATTTTTCAAATAAATAAACCATGTGCTATATTATATAAAAATCAAGTTTGAAAAATTATATTTCTGCTCTATTTTACTTTTGTATTTTTATATATGGAATTGTTACACAATTATAATTCATACCTGAGGAAGACTCTGTAATTTATTGCATTTACAAATGGGAAAGCAAATAAAATGTTGTCCAGATGTTCACACTGGCTAATTTCTAAATGATGTTGAAATCAACTTCATGTAAGAAAGGAGATTTCATTTTACTCCCTTGAAAGAAGTTAGGGAGTCTCGCTTGCCTAGAACCACTACTTTAATTCCAGGTTCTCTTTGTCCTTAAAACCATCACTTAGAGGTAAGAGGTTCAAAGCAGGTGCCGCTCTGGTCTGTAATATAGTCTGCACTATTCTCTCAGGGCACAAAGCTGAGGCTGTCATGTACCATTCCAGAGAGAGGCATACACAGGGGAAGATTAAATAACAAGTTTTCCTGTGATTGAAACAAAAACTTTGATCTTAGGAATTGTGTTATCTGGTACTTTTTAAGATCCATAATCTTAAAGAAAAAATAGTTTCCAATGAATTAATAATGGCTTGCGACTTAACACGCTGCAGCAATTTTCACTGCAGTGGTTGTTTCTTTTCTAGTCACACTTGATTAGTATTAGAAATTTGGAGGAATTGCAATATGCATGGTTTTCAAAGCCCTTTACAGAATTTCATTTTTATCACTTGGAGAGAGTCAATGAAAAGGTAATAAGAAAGGCTCGATGGGATATTTTTATAGGAGTGTCAGAAGCCAGTAAGCTAACTACATGAAAGAACTCAGATTGCACAGACAGGGTTTGGAGCAGAAACACTTCAGAGACTTTATATCTAGTATTTTGACTTTTACATGTCCTTGGAGAAGAAAGTGTGCTAGCTACAAAACCAAATAAGGAGGGGAAAGGAACAAACCGTATGCTTAAGAATAATTACAGTTTCAATTTTCCTACAAACTAAATGTGAAGTTTCAAAGATAAAGTGCAATAGAAACTGAGCTGGTTTGGTGTGTTTAAAATATTGCCGAGAAAGAAAATTCTTATTTCCCTTGCTAACTCATCCCCAATTTCCACCAGATGGAAGTTAGTCTGGGTAGCTTAACTGAATGCTGTCAACTCCTCCACAAGTCCATCTATCAGATCACCATCTCTACAAACTAAACCATCATAACTCAAGTCTGCATCTGATTACTGATCTCTTTAAATTAAAAACATCTCGGTTATTTTAACCTCTTCTCTAGCCATTAATCCTTCTTATTCATTCTTCTAGCAAAAATGTCAAAATATTATTATCATAACAATACAAGCAATCTTGAAATAAAATACTTCCTTGGCCACAAAGACCATAAAGGAGGAGAAAAATCCAATAATGGAAAACAAAGAATGATACCGTCATTATTGTGAGTGTTTAATATCATGCTGCACTTAAAACTTCATTTTAATGAGATTTTCAGGGCAGAATGGTCACTTTGGCTGAGCCATATATTCCAAACAAAATGGTAGTAAGAATCTGTATGTTGTGCCTTTGTCAGGTAGGCAGTTAAAACTGCCCTCATGTGGCTTAACTGACCTGTGGTCACATTGGTGCCTGATACTGCACTGGCCCCACGGTCTATCCTCTTGCTGTCAGCCAAATCATTCTGACAACCAACTGGTGCTTTTGAATCCAGGCCAGCTTGATGTGAGTGAAGGTTCCTGGATATGTCTACGTGGTGACTCTGAAATGACACAGGGCAGAGTGATTGATTTCACAAGTAAATTATCAGTCCAAAATAAATGCTTCCCAGAGATATGAAAAGAATAAACATTTATCATATGCCAAGTCATTTCTGTATGTCTGGAACAGAACATTCTAAACATCAAAACACGTTACGAATTATATGTTCATCAGTATATTTTGGTAATCTAGGTGTGGAATTTTTGAGGCAACCTGAGTAACTAGAATAAGAAGTCATTTTAGGCACAGAAAACCATCTTCAAGGACCATTTGTATATATTACCTTCTCCTTGTGAAACTTATAAAATATTTTTCATTTGGAGCATTTTTACACAGTATTCATTCTTGTAGTTAAATAATCCAGCATTTCATTATATATTACATAATTACATATTATATAATAAAAGCAGGTTTCATTTCTGTATTATCTGTACACTTTTTACAAATCATCTACTCTAAAATAACCCACATTTTTAATCAGCATTATGCAAATTTAACATAGCTCCTCTAGTCAAGTTAAGAATAATAATTCATCATAACAATGAATTATTAAGGCATGACATCAATGGCCCCTATAAATCATCTCATATATAAGAGATGTCATCGTGTTTGACATTATACTGACACATTGTATGCTTCAAAAGAATCATCAGATGGGAACAAAAACTGAAGACCTCAATAGGAAATTAAACTTTCAGCACTTTGATTCAAACCCAAGTTCGGACTAGAAGCTTATCAGTTTGAATGTCATTACAAAATATTTGAAGTTTCATAGAGTCAAAATTACCCAATCAATTTTTGCTGTTCACACTAGCCATTTTGGCTCACTGAAAGATAGGATAATAAACAACTTTCCTATAAAGTTCCTCCTACAAACTGTGTATAGCATTAAATTAATTAAAAGTTTGAATTTATGGAATCAAAGGCTTAATTTTAAAGCTTGGAAAGGGCTAACAGGGAAATGAGAGTCTAGAATGATTAAATAATTCACTAGGGTTCACAAAATGAACAGTGCTGAGCCTCAGTGCTATGTCTTCTGACCCTGAGTGCAGTGTGCTTGATGTCATTCTATGATTGATCTGTTCAGTTTTTAAATGTGGTGGACTGGTTGCACTGATGGCCCCGATTCTCCACCCCCTCTGTATCCATGTCCTTTCCATGTAATTTTGCTTTGCCCTCCTACTCTGACTTCTGGCTTGTCCATGTGGCTTCTTGTGGACCAACAGGATAGTGATACAAACAGAGGCTTGGAAGATGCTTGCAGAGTTGGTTTTGCTCGTTATTATAATTCTACTAAGCCATCAGAGCGTGCCTAGACTAGCTGGCTACAGGTTGAACATGAGATGGAGCAGTTAGGTTTCCCCAGGTTTCCAGGCTCAAACAAACAACAGCCAGAGGAGCCCCAGACATTTGGGTGAAACCAGCCTAGATCACCTGAGATCAGCTCAGGTAACCTGAACCCCACAGCCTCGTGAGCTAAATAAATGTGGTTTTGTCTATATGCCAGTAAGTTTTTCTGGTGGTCACACAGCATTGTGTGGTGATGCAGATAACTGTACATTCAACAATAATTTTCTACAGTATCTCACTCACTGTATGTTGTGTGAGAATACAAATATAAATATGACACAGTGTCAGACTCCACGTTGTTCGAACACAATTTTTTAAATTGGTTAAGCAGAGAATTGAAATAGAGTGTGGCAAATCATTTGTGGATAATTCTCAAATTTCTTTTCTAATGACAAAGGAGGCGATTCTGCTGATACTACCAAAGACAACCCAAAAGATCAGAGTTTGAATGTTGGCATTAAGTAGAACTAAACCACCACACTTATTTACATTTGGCTCACCCACAGCCCACAAAAACATAAGTTCATCATTTAGTGTGAATTCTTACATTTATTGTCAGGCCTATATTTTCACATAGCTTTTGTAAAGAAGCAGATTCAACCAGCATCTTACTACTTTCTTGATTTTGAATTAGATACCTTTGGAAAATATATTATTATTTCAAGTTGTTAGATGATTATTAAAGTAGAGTTTCTCAGTACTGAGCAATTAACTAGATTAAGGAAGGGATGTAGCTTCATGCTTTGTCATAGCACATTCCATTGATAACATTAACACATTGAGGGAAAATTTGAGTCCATGCAAATTATGTATATTATACCATATGCAAAGATGACATGATGAATTTTTTAAAAAAATCCATAAACCTGAAACCTTTGTCATGAAAGCCTGAGGGGAGAAAATAACCACTTGATCAGAATGGGTCAAGTATTGCAAAGCCCCTGTGATTCCTGGTACAAACCTCTGGCAGATTGGATATTTTATAAACATGTTACCATTTAATGAAGAACCCCATTTTTCTGGAGACAATTTCCACACTGGAATCTCCTCTAGACAAGTCCTGTCAGATTTTACAATTTCTCCTTTGCTCTACTTATTACAGCCAGGCTCCTGTTCCCAGATCCTCGCCTAAAGGGAAGCACATGTCTCAGACGTTACTGACCCTGCTACACTCACTCATCCTTGTTTACTTAGCCCCTCCTTCCAGTTCCCTGGTCCCCAGTCCTGCCCCAGCATTTATTTTCAGCTACAATAAAATTCCCACAATGTTCCCACATGCTTCATTGCCCAGTTGCCCTTCATTAACCCCCACCTCTCTCCCTTCTCTCTCCTGTTTCCTATCTCTCAAATTCTCCCACTGCACCTTGAGAACTTTGCTCATGGTTTGCAGACATCACTACATATTCAACATCCTTTCAGAACATTGCCTCTACCTCCCTACCTTGACTGAAATCCCATCCTCCATTGAAGACACCACTTCTACTATGAATGATGATGGCTACTTACTCCTCCACACCCCAGATACCCTCAGGTTCATGAGCCCACTTGTCACCAGGGCTGTCCAGTGCAAAAAATCCCTGCTGCTTTGATATTCCCACCGTCTAGCAATGCACCATCTCCCTTCTTGGTGGTATCATCTGTCTACTAATCTCTAGTGACCATGCATCCTATATAAAAAGGGATTGGCACCTGCATTATTGCTGTTCCTTCCAGCCCCAGTGTAGCCATGACCTTGGATAATAGCCACATCTACATAAGTGTCCCATTCAACACCCCAGCTGTATCTGCTTATTGCAAATGAACTTTTCATTTCTCTACCTCAGCCTTCACATCTGAAATCTGTCATCACCTGAAATGTTCCACCTCCAAAATTACTAAGTATCTTCCTCTCTCACCTAATGTCCTATTCTCAAGTTTATTTTCTCCATGCATGCAAAGCTCCCGTCTCTAAGACTGCTTTTCCATGACTCCAGCAAGGACTATTCTTGGACCTCTTTCGGATCTGAGAGCCACTGATCGCTCTTCTTTCTCTATATCCATCAGTCCTTTGCTATTTTTCATTTCTTCTCTACCAAGCATCCATTCCAGTTCAAAAACTTTGAACTGGCTAGTAGTCTGTCCGACGTCCTGGTTTTACCCCGCACAGCATCTGACATGTCTAGCCACTTCCTCTCCTTGCCTTCTCCTGTTCCTCCACCACTCCGAGTACTCATTCTTAGTCTCCTTTGCTGGATTATCTTCCTTCTCCTAAACATTGAGTGTTCTCAAGGGTTTGTTATTGACCCAGTTTTCTTTTTATTGTCCCTAGATAATTTCAACACTCATGTGGCTTAATATACCACCTGTATGTTTAGGACTCCAGGGCAGGGGCGGAGATTTATGAAATAAGAGGAGGGTGGAGAGGCCAGGGCTTGCTTGCCATAGTAAGCACTCTGGACTCCAGTGCTAATGTCCCCTCAGCTCCATAATCCCACCAATCTTCCTTCCTGTCTTAAGGCTCAGCTGTTCCATTTGCCTAGAACATTCTTGATAAACTTTTCCCCCTGAATTTTACTAAGTCTTTAGTCCTACAGGTTTTCCCTCACTGTATAAGCTTTGCCAGCACCCTGTTTTCTAGTGTTTGAGCACCTTATATTTTCACTGTAATGCAATTTTCACAATTACATTAAATAATACCTAGTTTCATGTTTAATGTCTATCTCCCTGGCTGAACTAAAGAACCCCCTGAGAGTAAAGATTAAGACTGCCTTATTCATTGTCCTCCATTCTTATTTCAGGGTTTTAAATATAGTAGGTATTACATAACTATGTATCAAATGAATGGATAGATTCATGAATAAAACATAGACTTAATTTTTATGACTTTTTCTTTGGCCAGTTATCAATGGCCACTACATCATCACATGTTCACACCCATCAGCAAATTTGGTTTAATATCCAGTCACTCCTAATGATAGTGCTTATTATATAGACAAAAGGCCATTATATTTTACCTTGTTTTATCCATTAAAAAACACACATTTCAAATCCTGTGTTTTCAAATAAACTCAGTACTGCAATCATTGCACACACTGTATATAGTATCTCATGCATCTCTGATTCACATTACATTGGGCAACTACATATGGAAGTTATAAATTAAAAAATGGTTATGTTAGGGAAAGTGGGAATTGAGAACTGAGTGTGTAAACACAGTGGCCCCATTTCTCTAGGCATGAGAATGTAGCCTGACAACAATTGAAGAATAAAAACCTGTGTCAGGCACTGCTTTAGTGATGTCAACTCTTCAACCTG